CCACAGCTGCTGAAGAAGCAGAAGCAGATCAGTTCTATGAGGATCTGCAGGAACTACTGGATAATACACCAAAAAGAGACATTATTTTCATTACAGGAGACTGGAATGCCAAGGTGGGAAGTCAAATGACAACTGGGATCACAGGCAAGCATGGTCTGGGAGAACAAAATGAAGCAGGACGCAGGCTGATAGAATTTTGCCAGGAAAACTCACTGTGTATAACGAATACTCTCTTCCAACAACCTAAAAGACAGCTTTATACATGGACCTCACCAGATGGTCAACACCGAAATCAGTCCTTCATTCCCTATCCATGTGGAAATAGAAGACCTTTGGGTATGTTTGATTTTCAGGATCCTACTCTATGCCATGCTAGAAAACTGGAGACTAAAAGAAAATGTTACTGGTGAGAGGCAGAATTACTATTTGGGGGGGACAAACCCTTCTCCCTCCCCCAGGGGTTCCCCATGAAACTATTCTTCATTTCCTTGTACACCCTTCCAAGAATCACTGGTAAATATTTGGTAAATAGATAGCAGCACGTTGATCTCAGAGTTGCATAATAAAGATGCCTCTTTTCCTCCGAGGCTGCAGCTTGTTTTCCCGGTCTTCTTGCTCTGATTCTTTGGGTCTTAGGTGGGGATGGGCAAATCTCCACAGCTCCAGTTGGTCAGATTTGTAATTTGCCCAAAAAGATGTTTCCTTTGGTCCCTCTTTGGATTGGCTTGTGAACTCTGAAGAATGTTTTCCTTCCCATTCTCACCCCCATTTCCACCCAAAAGTATGAGGGGCGTTTATTAAATATCTCCCCTGACCCACTTCAATTTATCACAGGATGCTGAAACCACACATGTGTAATGATCTAAGTCTCTATAGGTTATGTGCCAATTTACAACTCTGAACAGTCTTGATTTTACAGGTGCTGAAGTGGTGTGAGGTTTGATAATGGACCCAGTGGAATACAGAGCAGTCCTCAAGTTCCTTTACTTGAAAGGCCGCACACCAAAGAAGATGTTCAATTAGATTTATTTATCATGTCAGGGGCAACCAGACAATTGTATTACATTTATAACAGAACAAAACAAACAAACAGACAAAACACAAAATTTGCAAACTTGGTAGTTGATTAAATGTCCTTTGACCAGTATCTGGCCACTTGGAGTGCCTCTGGTGTTGCCGCAAGAAGGTCCTCCATTGTGCATGTAGCAGGGCTCAGGTTGCATTGCAGCAGGTGGTCAGTGGTTTGCTCTTCTCCGCACTCGCATGTTGTGGATTCCACTTTGTAGCCCCATTTCTTAAGATTGGCTCTGCATCTCGTGGTGCCAGAGCGCAGCCTGTTCAGCGCCTTCCAAGTTGCCCAGTTTTCTGTGTGCCCAGGGGGGAGTCTCTCATTTGGTATCAGCCATTGGTTGAGGTTCTGGGTTTGAGCCTGCCACTTTTGGACTCTCGCTTGCTGAGGTGTTCCAGCGAGTGTCTCTGTAGATCTTAGAAAACTATTTCTTGATTTAAGTCGTTGACGTGCTGGCTGATACCCAAACAGGGGATGAGCTGGAGATGTCACTGCCTTGGTCCTTTCACTATTGGCTGCTACTTCCCGGCGGATGTCAGGTGGTGCAATACCAGCTAAACAGTGTAATTTCTCCAGTGGTGTAGGGCGCAGACATCCCGTAATAATGCGGCATGTCTCATTAAGAGCCACATCCACTGTTTTAGTGTGGTGAGATGTGTTCCGCACTGGGCATGCATACTCGGTAGCAGAGTAGCATAGCGCAAGGGCAGATGTCTTCACTGTGTCTGGTTGTGATCCTCAGGTTGTGCCAATCAGCTTTCGTATGATATTATTTCTAGCACCCACCTTTTGCTTGATATTCAGACAGCGCTTCTTGTAGGTCAGATCACGGTCCAGAGTGACTCCCAGGTATTTGGGTGTGCTGCAATGCTCCAGTGGGATTCCTTCCCAGGTAATCCTCAGAGCTCGGGATGCTTGTCTGTTCTTAAGGTGAAAGGCACATGTCTGTGTTTTAGATGGGTTAGGGATCATCTGGTTTCCCTGTAATAAGGGCACCTAGAGCTTCGGAGAGCTTCTGTTCAACCATCTCAAAGCTCCCTGCTTGAGCGGTAATGGCATGATCATCAGCATAGATGAAACTCTCTGTCCCTTCTGGCAGTTCAATTAGATGAAAGAGGCTTATGGTGATGATTCCCCATCATATGATGAACTGGCATTGTCAACTCCAATGTGGTCTTCCATCATACTCTCCTTACCTATGCATTCTCCATATTTTCCTTATTTCAATTTGTTATATCATCCTATCTTAGAGCTGTGTTTCTCAACCTGGGGTTCAGGACCCCTGAGGGAGTTGTGAGGGGGTTTCAGAGGGATTGCCAAAGTCTTAGGAACCCCTTTGGCAAAGAAGGCTGAAGATCTCTCCACCTGTCTTTCTCTTCCTTTTTGGAAACAGAGGGTGATTCCTCCCACGAAAAGCCCTCCTCCCACTGTGATTGGCCAGCCTCTCAACTGCCCTCTCAGCCTTGGGGAGGAATGTTTCTGAGACTACAAGTGGGGAGGGGAGAGCAGGCGTGCTTGGTGCATGGCAGCATAGTGCGCATGTGTGGGTGAGGGAGAGCATGCAAGGCTGAAGGGAGGCTCACATCCTTTCAAGGCAGGGGGAAAATGCCCATTTTGATCGTGGACCTGAAGCCGAGCATGTCCCCCCCCCCCCCCAAAATAAGGGATAGTAACTTATAGTTCTGTAAAGGGCAAGGGGACCAGACTGCACAATAGGGGTTAAGTCTTGGTCAATTTGCCAAGACACTAACAACAGCAAGGACCCCAGGAGGCTTTCAGGGAGCAGATTGGTCACCTGGGCTCCAGCCCTTGGAAAGAGTTACAGTTTTCCAAGGGCCAAGGACAAGTCTCAACCTCAACGCTGCAGGACTCCCTTGACTGGCTCAGTGAAATCTTTTGGACCTTTCCTCATGAGTTTCACGCTTTTAATCAATCCCCATGAATCCTTTTGTTTCCCTTTCAAAAACATACTTCTATATGGACTGATGGACTTTCTACATATCATTTTTTGACTCTAATGAACTCATTTTCACATATGAACTTCCCCAGTATGAACCATGGACACATGTTTATTTAAAATTATTATTTTAATCAATTTCTCTGGCGGGTGGAGGGAGGGAGAGGGTGCTTGCTATGAATTGCTTGTGATTCCTATATTTCCCCATGTATTCTTTTCCTCATTTGTGCCCTGACTCCCAGCCCACCGCCCCTTTCTCCCTCCCTTCGGGGAAAATCAATCAAGAAGCCACCAGCTGTGCGGAAAGGACAATTAGCAGTCACAAAGAACTCTTATCATGATAACTCGTGCATGGAAAACATAGAATTGGAAACCTTAAGTTGAGTCTCAGAGTTGGTCCACTCAATAAAAGGGTTTCGCTTGGCACCTTTGATCACATCACCCTGGGGGGCGGAAAGACCCTCGAAAGGGCTTTTCATCTCTGAAACTGTTTAACTTCCAGATTCTATACAGCAAACATCCACCCCAGCATTTCTCATTGTGTCTTATCTGATGGCAACAGGAAAACCCGGATTAAGTAATCATTATTTATCGCCCACCCATCTCAGGACAATAGACTGGCATCCTTTGCAGGCCAGAATTCACAGACTCAGGATTCCCCAAGGCATGAAATCCATTAATCCATTCATGAACCCATTGTTTCTTCCTCGTCCCGCCTCCCTTCTCCTGATTCGCCAGAGCGCTGAGGCGGTAGGAGCACTCCTATTGGTTCCTGCACAGCAGAGGAGCTCTGTGATTGGCTCTGATGCACGGCGGGTGGCCGAGCCTCCTCCCAGCTGTCATTGCGTCAGCCAATCCCCTGTGAGCCGGGCGGAGGGCGGGAATTTTGAAACTGCTAAGCCTGTTATCCCTATAAAAATGTCTCTGATTTCTGTAACCACATGCTCTGTAGGCGAATGATTGCTACATTGCATCCTTTTCAGCTGAATCGCTAATAAAACACCTCGGTGCCGCTTCTTCAACTTTGGTGAGATTTATTTGGAATTTTTAAAGAAATAAAAGTTGCTGAAATCAGGCTTCTCCTAGCTTGCCAAAGTAGTGATCCCTCTTTGTTAGGGTCTCAGGGTTCCTCCTCCTGGGGAAGACCCTCCTAAAGTTCCTATCGACTTCAGGTCAACTATAAATCCCAAATGACAAAATCAATCCCCCATAACCCTACCAGTATTTAAATTTGGGCGTATCAGGTATTTATGCCAAAATTTGGTCCACTGAATGTAAATACAGCCTGCATATCAGATATTTACATTATGATTATGATTCATAACAATAGCAACAGAACAGTATGACGTAGCAATGAAAATAATGTTATGGTTGAGGGTCACCACAACATGAGGAACTGTATTAAGGGGCCACAGCATTATGAAGGTTGAGAAGCACTGCCTTAGAGGAAGGAAGCCTGTGCAGATCAGAGAATTAGAGGCAACTAGCTCAAGGTCCAGAGCCACATGGCTGTCAGAGTTGTTAAAAGTCACCCATTGGGAGAGGACAGCAGCTGGTGCTGGAAATAGCAAACAATTTCTTGAGCAGTATAAGTTTAACCCTTGGTTTTATGGAAACAAGGAGGTCTTGGGTTGTGGATCCTGGGGTGGGTGCAGAGCAGGTTCATGCCACTTACTTAACACTCGGGGAAGTGTGACCATTTACACAACCGTGGCTCCAGTTTCTTTGTCCAAACAAACAACGAAGGAGAAAAATAACGTCCATCCCTGGAAACCGACTTCCTCCAGCCATTTGGACAGGTTGTCCCCTCCACCTTGTTTACAGAGCGCAGGCTCTCTCTCTCTGGAGGGGCGATTGCTCCCCCTCCCCATGTGACAGTATGTCACCCTTTAGGAAACACGACCCCCTTCCCAACGGATCCTGCCAGCCGAAGCACATGTGACTCCCAGAGATAAATTATAAATAGACAAGAGCCAGACAAAAGTGCAGAAAGCCACAAGCTGAGCTTTAAGAGGCAGCCGACAAGTGCTCGAGAAGCCCAATAAGAAGACAGTAAGACATTTTCTGCAGAGACTTCCTCCACCAAGGATATAATTCGGAAGCCTCAAACAGGGCAATGGATTATCAGTCAAGCATCATACGGGACTCTAACCCCATGGAGAATCTGGAGAAGCAGTTGATCTGCCCCATCTGCCTGGAGATGTTCACCAAACCTGTGGTGATCCTTCCTTGCCAGCACAACCTCTGCAGGAAATGTGCCAATGACATCTTTCAGGTCAGTAGAACTCCTCCTAATATTGACCCGAAGTGGGTAAATGTCAGTTTCAATATTGCCAATGCTGGAAATAATGTTCAAGTGAGAGGTACATGGTGAGGGAGATGAAGTGAGACAAGGACGCAGCTGATAACTTTGAAAGCAAAGCTTGGATAAGTTTTTTTTTTTACTGAAACTCCCAGAATCTTCAAGACCTAGGCAACATAATGAAGTATCACAGACACACTGGTCAGGAGAGCTTGCGAGTTAGAATTCAAAAAGTATTTTTTCTGAAAATGGAGCAGTATTTTCACAAAGAGTCAAATTCACATTTTCTTAGATGGACCTGTAATGAAATGTCTAGGCCAGTGTTGCTCAATCTGGGTGTCAGGACTCCTGTGGGGTTGTGTGGGAGTGTCAGAGGGGTTTCCAACGACCATCAGAAAACACAATATTTTCTGTTGGTCATGGACATTCTGTATGGCAAGTTTGGCCCAATTCTATCGTTGGTGGGGTTCAGAATGCTCTTTTATTGGAGGTGAACTATAAATCCCAGGAAGTACAACTCCCAAATGTCAAGCTCTATTTTCCCAAAACTCCACCAGTGTTCATATTTGGGCATATTGAGTATCCGTGCCAAGTTTGGTCCAGATCCATCATTTTTTGAGTCCGCAGTGTTCTCTGGATGCAGGTGAACTATAACTTCCAAACTCAAGGTCAATGCCCACCAAACCCTTCCAGTATTTTATGTTGGTCATGGAAGTTCTGTGTGCCAAGATTGGTTCAATTCCATCGTTGGTGGAGTTCAGAATGCTTTTTGATTGTAGGTTAACTATAAATCCCGTCAACTACAACTCCCAGTGGAGCCCTCGGTGGTGAAGTGGGTTAAAGCACTGAGCTGCTGAGCTTGTTGATCGAAAGGTCGCAGGTTCGATTCCGGGGAGCGGCGTGAGATTCCGCTGTCAGCCCTAGCTTTTGCCAACCTAGCAGTTCGAAAACATGCAAATGTGAGTAGATCAATAGGTACCGCTCCGGCGGGAAGGTAACGGCGCTCCATGCAGTCATGACCTTGGAGGTGTCTACGGACAACGCTGGCTCTTCGGCTTAGAAATGGAGATGAGCACCACACCCCAGAGTCAGACATGACTGGACTTAATGTCAGGGGACTATCTTTACCTTTTTACAACTCCCAAATGACAAATCAATCCCCACAACCCCACCAGTATTCAAATTTGGGTGTATCGGGTATTTGGTCCAGTGAATGAAAACACATCCTGCATTTCACATATTGACATTACGATTCATAACAGTAGCAAAATTACAAGTATGAAGTAGCAACAAAAATAATTGTGTGGTTGGGGGTCACCGCAACATGAGGAACTATATTCAGAGGCTGCAGCAATAGGAAGGTTGAGAAACACTGAACTACAGGATAATCCTCTTTAAGGGAGGACACATAACCTCTACAAGCATCCAATAGAACAATACACCAACTGTTTGTAAAAACTTTGTTGGTAGAAATGGGCAAATTGCAACAAGAACCTAAGAATGGTGCCAATGTGTGCCACTAATTCTGATGAATATGAGTTACAACAAATAAGGGGGGGTGGGAAACATTTATAAGTATTTTTTGTTATCATGGTGCCAAACATTTTCTAAGGAGTCCCTGTCCCAGCCTTTGAAACATCAAACAAAGACAAATCCTCTCCGGATTGTACCTCTTGGTGAAGGTACTGGAAACAATCCCAAAAGGAATCTGTTTCCTATCTCAAGAGGAAGAACCAGCTGATAAGAGGACGGTCTCTTTGGGGCCTCTTCTAGTTGTGACGCAGTTGTTTCCAACAGTGTTGATTGCTGTTGCTTGACTTCCGAGACAACAAAATAAGGGGAGTCAGGAGGACAGCTCAGGGGCAAAGAAGATATTGGATTCGGCTTCTGGAACAGAGATCAAAGTTTTCCCAAGTTCTCATAGTTTGGCTGGCAGTTGGTGCCGTGGGAGTAGTGTCGATACTAAAGCCAAACCTAGCATGACTGACGGCAGAGCTTGCCAAGCTATGTTGGGAAAAAATAATTTGTTGCCATTGCTCTTCATAGCTTTTAAAAAGAAATAGTCTCATTGCTCATTACAGTGGTAAACACTGGAAAAATAGCCTTCTAAGGTACAACTACATTGAATGAATGCAGACTGACTCCATTTTAATGGTCATGGCTCACGGTGGTATGGAGTCATGGGAATTGAAGTTTTACAAGGTCTTCTACAAGGTCTGGTTACATCTCGTATAGACTACTGCAATGCTCTCTATGTGGGGTTGCCTCTGAAGACTGCCCGGAAGCTGCAATTAGTCCAACGAGCGGCAGCCAGATTACTAACAGGAGCGGGGTACAGGGAGCATACTACTCCTCTGTTGCGCCAGCTCCACTGGCTGCCAATTAGCTTCCGTGCACAATTCAAAGTGCTGGTGTTGACCTATAAATCCCTAAACGACTCTGGCCCAGTTTACCTGTCCGAACGGATTCTCCCCTATGAACCATCAAGGTTGTTAAGATCTTCTGGAGGGGTCCTGCTCTCGGTCCCACCATCTTCGCAATTGCATCTGGTGGGGACGAGGGACAGGGCCGTCTCGGTGGTGGCCCCTCAGCTCTGGAACTCTCTCCCATTGGAGATTAGAACTGCCCCTTCCCTCCTGACCTTTAGAAAGTTGGTGAAAAATTGGCTTTGGAAATTGGCATTTGATGAATGAGGCAATGACTTTTGACCACATGGACGGATGGGGATGAATAGTGATTTTTATGCTAACAACTATACTTTATATAATTATATGATAGTACTTTAATGTGTTTATATTAGTGTATTATTGATGTGGTGTTTTTAAATCATTGTGTATGAACCCCTTGTTGTAAACCGGCCTGAGTCCCTCGTTGGAGGTGAGAAGACCGGTATATAAAAGTTCTAAATAAATAAAATAAAATAAATAAATTCTCAGCCAAAGGATGCTGATGCCAAACTATAGCTCCCAGGATTCCATGGCATTGAACCATGATAGTTGGCAGGGTGCAAAACTGCATTCATTCTGCTTAAAATACTATTTGTGTGTTTAATCAGCTGGATGTTCTTAATCTCATCACCTGCATACCTTGTACACCTATGGTGCAATAAGGATCTTTGGACCATAATAAAATGTTGTTGTTGTTACTACAATAGTAGAGTTTGATAGAGCACCTGAGAGCATTTTAGGGCATGTTAAAGGACAGGGTACATAGAATTAATGTATCATATATTTTATATTATAAAACGTAGAACTCTACTGTCATACACCAGAGCAGGAACACCTCTGACCTTAAACACCACACCAGCTTGATAAAATCTGCAAGCAGTTCATTGAAGAATATAAGTAAACAAAGTTGTAAAATTAGCAAAACAGTAAAGTTTCAAAATAAAGGTTAGTCTGACTGTAACCCACCCTGAGTCGCCTATGGACTGAGAGGGGCGGTATAGAAATATAGCAAATAAACAAACAAGTAAATTCATGAGCTTCAAGGCAAAACAAGATCCATAGGTATATAAATCCATGAAACAGGCACAAGAATCCATGAAACAAGGCAGCATGAAAAATCCAATACACAAATTAGGAGCTTGGCAAAAACTTGGTATATGAAACTAAGAACACTTGAGAGCAAGGCTGTTGACCCAACTGAGACAACTCTTTCCGATGAATCAATATAAGGCTTTTCCAGATCCCAAACCAAAAGGAAAGCATTTAACTTGACCTTCCCACCAGATAAAGTTTTTTTCCCCCTCTCTTTTCCTGTAAACAAAGTGATCTCCTTTGTGCCTGAGCACTCTGTTGCTGTTTACAAAAGCATTGCTTTCTATCTACACTCTCATTATCATAACTCTCATTAACTTCTGCACCTGACAAATCATCTCCAGACAGTTGCTCTGAGAAAGATGGCGAAAGGCCTCTCCCAGGAATGTGACCTTGTGAATCTTCCAGAGACAGCTCAAGCCTCTCATCTAAGCTTAACTCAGGCCCAGGCAAACCCGGATCCCCACTGTCAACAGATCCAGACTCACCATTAGGAACATCATCCCCATTCCCAGCACCAACATTGGACACAATCACAGGCTGACATACAATATCTACAACTTAAAACTCTACAATGAATTCCATGCCCTTTCTGTAAATATGATTTTTGGGGGATGTGGTGCTCTTATGGGAGAGGATTCAGGAGGGGATGTCAGAGCAATACTTGCCATATGAGGCACTTGTTTCACTCAGCCGAACGATAGAGCTTGCCCAGAGGAAAGGATGGCAACTAGGCTTTTTCAGGTACAGATTCACACTACAGAATTATAACACTATGATTCCACTCAACTGCCAGGGCAGCATTCTATTGGGATCTTGATATTTGTAGTTTAGGAAGAAGTATTCAAAACTCTCAGCCAGAGAATTTCCATCCATTTACAAATCCCAGGGTTACATTGGATGCATCCATTGCAGGTAAAGTGGGGTCATAGTGCTGTGATTATGTTGTGTGAAAGGACTCATTGTTTTGGTGAATGTCATAATGTAACCAACCCATTCTGGAGCATAATTTGATTCTAAAGTGGATCTAGGCGAGTATAGAATCATAGAATCATCGAATCAAAGAGTTGGAAGAGACCTCATGGGCCATCCAGTCCAACCCCCTGCCAAGAAGCAGGAATATTGCATTCAAATCACCCCTGACAGATGGCCATCCAGCCTCTGTTTAAAAGCTTCTGTTTAAAAGAGTACTCCAACTGCATAGGAATGTAAGCAGATCGTGCTGGATCTAGTCTTAAGATCTATCTAATTTAATCTCTCAACCAGATGTGTCTTGGAAACTCGACATGGAAGGCATGAAGGCGGCAACCCACTTTCACTGTTTTCCCACTGCTTGCTGCTGAGGGTGCATCTACACTGTAGAATTAACACAGTTTGACACCACTTTAGCTGCTAAGGATCAATGCTACATAATCCTGTAAGTTGTTGTTCTACAAGGTCTTTAGATTACTCAGCCAAAGAGTGTGGGTGCATCACCAAATTACAATTCCCGGGATTCCATAGCATTGAGGCATGGCAGTTAAAGTAATGTCAAACTGCGGCAATGTAAATGCACCCAAAGTGTCTGATCCAAGCACAAAACATTCTGGGGATTTCCAGTTGCGTCAGAAAAACAAATGTCAATCATTACATGATTTGATCGCCCTCTGATAGCTGCAGTCTCGCCAGGTAGGATGAAATCTGTTCGTGTGCAGCACCTGACTCTTGTCCTTCCATTTTGGTGGCCTCTCTAGGCTGCGAACCCCTACTGGCAAACATCCCGTGGAACAACCATCTCGGGGGGCAGGTTCCGCTGCCCTTCCTGCCGCCACGAAGTCATCCTGGACCGTCACGGCGTCTACGGCCTCCAGAGGAACCTCCTGGTGGAGAACATCATTGACATCTACAAGCAGGAATATACCAGGTTTGCATTGACCCCTGTCATACTGGGTTGACTCTTCCATGGGACTCAATGGAGCATGGCAAATCTTTAATGCCACAAAAAAACAGCAAATAGTTGTGCTTTCTTTCTTCCCCTATAGCAGTGGTTCTCAACCTTCATAATGCCGTGACCCCTTAATACAGTTCCTTATGTTGTGGTGACCCCCAACCATCACATTATTTTCATTGCTACTTCACAACGATAATTTTGCTCCTGTTATGAATCATCTTGTAAATATCCAATATGCAGGATGTATTTTCATTCATTTGGCACAAATACTCGATACATCCAAATTTGAATACTGGTGGGGTTGAGGGGAGGATTGATTTTGTCATTTGGGAGTTGTAGTTGCTGGGATTTCACCTACAATATCAAAGAGCATTCTGAACTCCACCAATGAGGCAATTGAACCAAACTTGGGACACAGAGCTCCCATGACCAACAACAAATTCTGGAAGAGTGTGGTGGGCCTTGGGTTTTGGAGTTACAGTTTACCTACATCCAGAGAGCACTGATGCATCTGGACCAAACTTGGCAAATACTCAGTATGCCCAAATGTGAACACTGGTAGAGTCTGGGGAAAATAGACCTTGACATTTGGAAGTTGTAATTGTTGGGATTTATAGTTCACCTACAATCAAAGAGCATTTGAACTTCATCAACAATAGAATTGGGCTAGACTTTCCACATGGAATCCCCATGACCAACAGAAAATACTATGTTTTTGATGGTCTTTGGTGACCCCTTTGACACCCCCTCATACCCCCTCAGGGGTCCTGACCCCCAGGTTGAGAAACACTGCCCTAGACCCTTTAGGAGAGGAAGAGGATCCAACTGCACTATTTCCAAGATGCAAACTTTCTTCTCCTTGGATTTGGTTGAGAGCATCCCAGTCCCTGCATATTTCCAATTTCCTATTCCTGGACTGCAACTCCCAGCAATCCTCCAGATAGATAGATTAGATATAGATAGGTGTGTAGATAGATTGATTAGGAGGGCTGCTGGGAGTTGCAGTCCAAGAATAGGTAGAGAGGGGAGAAAGAGGAAGGAAAAGAAAGGGGTGGAGGAGGGGAAGAAGAAGAGAAGGAAGAAAGGAGAGAAGGAAAGAAAAAAAGGGAGGAAGAAAAGAGAGAAAGAAAGAAGAAGAGAAAGAGGGAGGGAAGGTTGGCCACAGCAATGCGTGGCAGGTACAGCTAGTTGAATGAAAAAATAATAGATAGATAGATAGATAGATAGATAGATAGATACTATATTTGTTTATTGATTAGTCTTTTGACCATATCAACAATAGAAAACAAAAGACAACTATCCAAAGACACAATAAACACAAATCCCTATCCTAACACTCCTGTAATAATTAGCTAAAATATATTTAAGCACTGTTAGGTTTCATGCCTGGACTGCACAAGTCTCTTGTGTCATCAAGTCTCCAATCCTCAATGAGTAGCTAGACTAGAGCTAGGATTAGACTGAGGGATTCCTCTCCCCACATTCCTATGCATGCTTATCCCAGAAGGGGTCTTTGTCTTTACTCTTCTTGCTTGCCATTATCTCCTCCCCCATTGAAGCTGTAGGAATGGAATCTCTGTGAGGGATGAGGTAACTTCCTCTTTAAATGTATTTTTATTGCCTTGGGTTTGGCCATGTGGTCATCCTCCATCAGGGGCGGCTCATCCATTACGCGAAGTAAGCGGTCGCAGAACACTTTTTTTTGCCAGGGGCGCAGAGGCGCCTCTGTAAATGCCCCTCGACCGCCACTTGAGGAGCGCCCCTCAGCTCACAACAGCCCTAGCAGTCCGGGGGGAGCCTCGGCTTTCTTGCCTCACTGCCGGGCGACCCTCTTCCCAAAGGGGCCGGGCCCTAGAGCCTCACCTAGCCCCTCTCGTTCCTGCTCCACCTGGCCACCGGGTGCGCATGCAGAGCCGGTGCTCAATCGTTCTCCGCATTCGATCCCTTCCCCATAACCGCTCCCTTTCCCGATCCCCCGGCGCTCCACCCGCCTCCTCTCCTCTCCCCAATCCGCGGGTGGGCCAAGGGGCAGAGCCACCATGCCTGGCCCACTTTGGGTCCAGAGGCGTGTCTGAAGACCCCAGCGTGCGCACCAAAAGTTGCCTCTTCTCCTGACTTTCTCTTCAGCCATTGGGACCAAGAGAGAGAGACCCTCCGGCTGGAGGTATCTCCCACCTCCGCTCCCTCCTTTGTTTTTGCGCCTACCTTCAGGAAAGGTGGGCATCTCCACCTCTCTCTCTCTCTCTCGGTCCAAATGGCTGAGGAGAAAGTCAGGAGAAGAGGTGACTTTTGGTGCACACGCCGGGGTCTTCAGGCACGCCTCTGGACCCAAAGCGGGCCAGGCAAGGGAGCAAGTGCGGCAAGTGTAGTTACTGGGATGTATAGTTCACCTACAATCAAAGAGCATTCTGAACTCCACCAATGATGGAATTGAACCAAATATGGCACACAGAACTCCCACGACGAACAGAAAATATATATCAATGATTGGTTGGGGGGGGGGGCGCCAAAATACTGTTTGCTTACCATTGAAAATTACCTAGGGCCGCCTCTGTCCTCCATTGTTGCTGTGTCTGCCTTTTCTTCTTTCTCCAGGCAAAATGTAACTGCCTGGATATTTTTTGATTTTTTACCCTTTTCCTTCTTAGAAGATGAGATTTAGTAAGTCACGTAGTTAGCGCCAAGACCTTTTCTATCTAGAATCGATTTCTTTTTACATCAATAAATATTTTGAACCTAAAGTTGTGACTCTACAATCCTACATAACATAACATAACACTTTATTTGTACCCCGCTATCATCTCCCCAAGGGACTCGGTGTAGCTTACATGAGGCCGAGCCCAAATACAACAATACAAGCAATAAAACAACAATACAAATAATTAAAATTAAAAAAACATAGACGATAAAATATACAACATTATCAAAAGACAGCACACAATTAAAAACAGTGGGAAGGCCAAATGTAGAATTAAAATTGGAATTGATGCTGGGACATGGACGAGCAGACCTAAAGAAATGTAAAGTGCTTTGGAGGACAAAGTGCTATGGGATCATTATTCCGGGAAGGCACACTAGAACAGCCACGTCTTCAAGTTCGTCCTGAAGACTGCCAGAGTTGGGGCCTGTCTGATGTCTTTAGGGAGTGAGTTCCAGAGTCGAGGGGCCACCACCGAAAAGGCCCTCTCTCTCGTCCCCACCAATCATGCCTGCGATGCTGGAGGGATCGAGAGCAGGGCCTCTCTGGATTATCGAAGGGATCATGTGGGTTCGTATATGGAGATGCGGTCACGCAGGTAGGCAGGTCCCAAACCGTTCAGGGCTTTGTAGGTAAGAACCTGCACCTTGAATTGCAGCCAGTGGAGCTCCTTGAACAGGAGGGATGACCGCTCCCTGTAAGGAGCCCCAGTTAACAACCTGGCTGCCGCCCGTTGGATCATCTGAAATTTCCGGGCCGTTTTCAAGGGCAGCCCCACGTAGAGTGCATTACAGTAGTCCAGTCTGTGTGCCATCCTGTTGAATGGAAGCTTATTCCAGCTCGCCACACATAAGTTTCTGCTGGTTGTGAAGTTTGCTTCTAGCACTCTGCTATCTTTATGGTGGAATCACCCCAAGTGAGGGTTATTTAGAGCAGTGATTCTCAACGTTCCTAATGCCGTGACCCCTTAATACAGTTCCTCATGTTGTGGTGACCCCCAACCATTAAATTATTTTCACTGCTACTGTTATGAATCATTATGTAAATATCTGATATGCAGGATGTATTCTATTGGAGTGTTATGGGAGGATTGATTTTGTCATTTGGGAGTTGTAGTTGCTGGGATTTATAGTTCACCTACATTCAAAGAGCATTCTGAACTCTACCAACGATGGAATTGGACCAAACTTGGCACACAAACTCCCATGACCAACGGAAAATACTGGAAGGGTTTGGTGGGCATTGACCTTGAGTTTGGGAGTTGTAGTTTGCCTACACCCAGAGAGCACTGGGGATTCAAACAATGATGGATCTGAATCAAACTTGGCACGAATATTCAATATGCCCAAATGTGAACACTGGTGAAGTTAGGAAAATAGACCTTGACATTTGGGAGTTGTAGTTGCTGGGATTTATAGTTCACCTACAACCAAAGAGCATTCAGAAGCCCACCAACGGTAGAATTAGGCCAAACTTCCCACACAGAACTCCCATGACCAACAGAAAATACTGTCTGTGATGGTCTTTGGCGACCCCTCTGACACCCTCTGGCGACCCCCAGGTTGAGAACCACTGATTTAGAGCCTTACAGCTCAGATTCCCAACAAGCACTTAAAACCAGAGATACAGTGTGGGCTTGTTAAACCAAATTCACTCTTGTTTGGAAGTTGGTAGCCTATTGTGCCATCAGCCCGTCTTCCATTCTGAGGGTAGACAACAGAGTCCAACTCCGTCACATTAATCCCAGGTGTGACTAATCTGGCGTGACAGCAGAGACGTCTAACCCTAGCCACCTCTAGGTACAGTAGGAATTGGACTGGTTCCCACCTCACCTCTAATATTAACTTCCTCCGAGAGGTTATGTTTAGACTTTCCTTCTCCGCATGCCATGCCATGCTGTGCAAGAAGCTTGCGAGCTGCGTCTCAGTTTTATTTTGGGAGACCAACAGTATTCCTTCATCAGGAGCAGCCTTCAGATAATGCCCCAAAAGTCTCTTCCTCAGCACTTACCCTCCTATATTTGGATTCCTCCTTAATCCACCCAAAATGCATTTCCACGAAGGGTATATATTACTAGGATGACATGTGTAGCTTTAATGTGTAAGCCGCTTTCTTAATCAAATGCTCTAATATTATCCTGGATTAATAGCTAGCAACTCTCAGCATTTACCATATATACTCAAGTATAAGCCGACCCAAATATAAACCGAGGCACCTAATTTTACCACAAAAGCTGGGGAAATGTATTGACTCGAGTATAAGCCTAGGGTGGGAA